CTGACCGGCGCCGCTGGCACTGGCAAAACGGTGCTGGTGGAGCGCATACTGGAGCAGCTGTCGGGAAAGCCGGACTACTGCTACTTCGACATCTTCTACTGCTCGCGCAGCAAGGGTCGCAAAACGGAGTCTATTCAAAAGGATTTGCGCAACATATTCACCAGCTGCCTTTTGCACGCACCGGCCATTGTAGTGCTGGAGAATCTGGATGTGCTCGCCCATGCGTCGGCAGAGCAATCCAGCCAGGATGGCGAGTACTTCAATCGCATGGCAGACACGGTGCACCAGCTCATCATGCAGTACACCAGCAGCAATGCCATTGCTGTCATTGCCACAGTCAGTGAGCTGCAGACGCTGAACAAGCGGCTCAGCGCGCCACGTGGTCGACATCTGTTCCAGACGGTCGCGAGGCTGCCCAGCCTGGAGCGTGCCGATCGTGAGGTAATACTGCGCGAGCTATGCAGCCATATCGCCACCAAGGAGTTGGACTTGGTCAAGTTATCTAATCTAACTGAGGGCTATCGGAAATGTGATCTTGTGCAGTTTGTGGAGCGCGCCATTTTCTACGCCTATCGCATTAGTAAGTTGACGAAGTCACCTAGTAAACTATCCTAATCTCATTTACTTTGCTCACAGGCAAAGCTCAGCCGCTGCTTACAAACGAGCAGCTCATAGAATCCTTGGAGCACACGAATTCCTACTGCCTGCAGGGCATACAAAGCAATCAAAAGACTGGCGCTGAAACGGATGCCAATGAAATGCGCGTGGAGGAGCTGCCTGGACTGGAGCCTGTGGTCAGTGTGCTCGAGGAGGTGCTCATGTGGCCATCAACTGTGAGTACACGAATATATATTTGTATAAGTAAAACATATTGATTCAAATCTGCTTCTCCAACAGTATCCAACGATCTTCAACTCCTCGCCTTTGCGTAATCAGGCTGGCGTGCTGCTTTATGGACCGCCGGGCACGGGCAAAACGTTCCTGGTATCTCAGCTGGCCAGCAGCTGGAGTCTGCGCATTATATCGGTAAAGGGTCCTGAGTTGCTGGCCAAATACATTGGCCAGAGTGAGGAGAACGTGCGCAATCTGTTCAACAGGGCGCGCAGCGCCAAGCCGTGCGTTCTCTTCTTCGACGAGTTTGACAGCTTGGCCCCGAAACGTGGCCACGACTCGACGGGCGTAACGGATCGTGTGGTCAACCAGTTGCTCACCGAGCTGGATGGCGTCGAGGGGCTGCAGGGCGTTACTGTCATTGCCGCCACATCGCGACCTGAACTGCTCGATCCAGCGCTGCTGCGCTCTGGCCGCATTGATCGGCTAGTGGAGTGCCCACTGCCGGATGCAGTGGCGCGCGTCAGCATCTTTGAGGCGTTGAGCGCGACGCTGAATCTGGATGAATGCGTTGATTTCGATTGGTTTGCGGGGCGAACGCAGAACTACACTGGTGCCGATATACAAAGCATTCTGACCTCGGCGAACATGGCGGCGGTTAAGGAGGCGCTGGCACAATTCGGACATGAGGTGAGTGAGAATCGCAATCGAGCGGAAATTGATATGGAGAAGGTTCTTGGTAAAGCCATAGTCAAAGAAGTAGTTGGCGCTTCCGTTCCCAGCAAATAAACTGGAAAGAGGGCGCACAAGTGCAGTGAGATTTACTATTTTTGGGGTTTTTCTTCTATCTATGATTACGTGCCGTGCATCTGGATCAGGATTAGGCAACCCTATGCGGGTGCTGGGCCAAAAAAAAAAAAAAAAAAAAAAAAGAAATACATAGTAAAATTGCAGACGAGAGGTTTTTAGATATATAAGTCACGTAACGGATATTTCCTTATTGATATGCGATTATCGCGCATGCGCACGTACTGCAACAACAATAACAGCAACAACCATAGCAACAACAACAACAACAGCAACAACTCAAAAGACAATGGACACATTTTCTTATGCATAAATTAAACATAGCCCAAGGGCCGCGATAATAAAGAATGCAAGCCGAACCAAGACAAGTAGACGAAATCCTCAGCCACAAAACATGCTTAGAATAAAAGTAAAAAGAACAACAAAGGAAAAGAAAAGAAAACTACAAACAACAACAACAACAATGCGCAATTGCAACATGCGGCAACTGCGCATGCGGGACGGACACCTTGCAGACAGGTAGAACCTAAGGAATCGCTGGCCAGCACTGCGAGTGCTCGACAGGATCGCTGCTTGTGTAAATAATATTAAACACCCACACACACACACACACGCACACACGCACACATATAATTGTAGCTAGGTTTTCACGATGTCGTCGGTAACGCCACCCGGCTCGTGGTGGTTGCCGATGATGATCGTCGTCAGCATATCCAAAAGTTTTGTTGTTGCGGCATTCAATCGATCGTTACTTTCAGTTGTGTGCGCACATTCAAGCAAATCGGTTGGCTCGCGACTCTGTGGGATCTGTTTCGGTTAGTGCAGCGGAAGTTGTCAATAGCCGCAACTCCCTCGCCCAGCCAAAGCGCTGTTCTGTTGGGCAGTGTAGCTCTGGGGGAGGGGGTGCAGAGGGCATTGGGCGGCGGGCCTTAATAAGTGACAAAGTTATGCATAATAAATAATAGATAAATCACAAATCCAAATTCAAATATTTCTGTGACGCCAACAAACTTCCTAATAGAGTTCCCAGCCCAGCCAAATGTGTAAAAACAATTTAAACCGAGTTTTAGCATTCGCAACTTGCTGATAAATATTTTGCAAAAAGCGACTCAAATGCTAGTTCGAAATTCAAAATTCAAAGTCAATTCATACTTCATAATTTTAAACGTTTCAAGCAATCAATTTGCAATAATATTGACAAAGTCGCAAAAACAACAAGAATAAAACAGCAACAACCACAACAATAGCTGCAATAAAAACAACGAATTATAACAATAATAATACATATTTCAAACATACGCGATTTGTCTGCTGGCAATAAATGAAAGAAGCAAGAAAAAAAGGAAACTGAATAAATTTCAGATCGCGACGTGTGTGCATATATCACACCAAAAATCAGTACCGCCAAAAAGCAGCAACAGCAACAACAACAATGACAACAACAACAACAGTAACAACTAACAAACGGCACTACACAAACAACAAGCGCAACAATATTTGCAAAAACAACAATGGAAAAAAAAACACCGCAACACCAGTTGTTGGCTTGCCTTAAAAAACAAATTATAAAATATAAACTTCGTTAGTGCACAGTGGTCTCAGGTGACAAAATAGAAACTGAGTTATTTGTTTAATCAGCCATTGGAAGTAAAATTCATTATCAAATTATGAATTGTCCTGATGATAGACTGATTTGCAATTTTATAGAAAATTGCCATATTAAGTTATTTGAAACTTAGTGAAAAGTAACAGTTAAATGGCGTAAGGGATCTTAAATTATTCTAATAAAATATGTTATAATTGATAGAAAGTCGTAAAATTAAGTTCATTGAAAATGAGGCAAAAATAATATTTAAATGAAAATTATATCGGAATTCATTTTAATATAGAATCACTTTTAAAAGAAAATTTTATTTTTTTTTTAATTTTATTTTTAACAATTTTCTGTGAAGATACTTGTGAACAAAATATCATTAAATAATATAAACTTTTTACCATAACAAGTATAAATTTAAACTTAAACCTATAACTTGCTATGATCAATAATATTTAGCTTTAGTTTCTCTTATCTTCCAAGCAAACTTTGTTAAGGCTACATAAATTCCAAGTTATACGGAAAAACATCCGTATTGCTAATTTCCTTTATGATTCATGTCCGTTAAAAAATCGTGGATAATTTAGTTTGATATTTTCATGTTCTTTGCTAATATGCAATGGAGCTAAAAAAAAAAATAAAAATCTGGCACCCACTCAAATTATAATTTTATTTTTATGATCTGAAGTCAAACGTTTTACTGTGGCGTGAAATTTTTTCGCAATAGAAATGAAAGATTTCGAGAGTAAAAACTAGTTTTGTTTTGTTTTCTTTTTGCGATTCTCGTAGACCAAGTGAGCAGTAATTATTATTTATTGATTCATCAGGTGCGGTGTACTCAATGAACTTTCTTAAAGCTCGCTTACAAAATAAATGGAGCATATTGGTTTCTATTATAGTTCATATATTATTTAAATTGAAAGTTCATTAAATATACAATTATAGGTGGTATAGGTGTAGGAGGTTTTTAAAACAGATTACAAATATTTTAACATCTCTCTTGGAATTCGAGTCAGCTTCACATTGCAAAGGTGTATTATGTAGTTGGTTCTACCCGACGCAAGCATTCCTTCGTGTTTCAATATTATGCTCTAAAAGCAAGTTGCCAATTTGGGACCACTGTGCTCGTGCCCGTGCCCGTGTCTAAAGCCAATGCTTGACTCTACCAATATAYCGACGATTAATATTATGAATGCATCTAAAATTTCTAACTGTACGACGATTTGTCGTATCAATGGAAATGACGACATTTAACGCATTTGGCATGTGGCCGATGCTCACATATACTATATATATATATATATARCCAACTTATAGATACTTGACTTGGCTATATGAGTGCGTGTGCGTTCGTGTGTGTGTGTGTGTGCTCGTTGACAACAGCTACAACAACAACAAGAATAACAACAGTAGCAGCAGAGGCGGCAAAGGTGTTGCTCATTACAGAGGCAGTGCACATAATGGTTGCCTTTTTGTATTATACGCGTTGCCTTTTTTCTTTTTAGATTTATTTTTGTTTCGAATATTGAAAAAAAAAGAAGACGCAAAAAATTGAACCTAACCGATAGCAATAAATTATAATAATAATAATAATAAAATAGAGAGGGTAAAATGTGAACAAATGAAGCATTGCGAAATATAAAAGTGTCTTTGCAAAAGCAGCGGCAATTTGGCAACAGCAACAGCAACAGCTAAGTAAACAGCAATCACATTAACAGCAGCGGCAACAACAACAACAACAACAACAACTCAAATGCTACACTTGAAAATGCAAAATCTGCTGATCATCATATTCATCATCATCAGCTACAGCAGCAGCAGCAGCAGCAACAGCAGCAGCAACAACAAAAGCAACAACAACAACAACAACAACAACGACAACCACATTTCGAGCTGCCACTTTGAGGCGCATCGTTGCCAAATCGATGTGAGTCAAGAGCCACAGCCTGGCTATCGTCATGTGCCCACAGATGTGGATATTCAGCTGGAGTGCCAACAGCCCCAAGCCAAATGGTTCTTCAACGAGCAGCTCCAGCACAGCGGCAGCAGCTGGCTGCTGGAGCGCGCTCAGAGAGAGCAATCGGGTCACTATGCGTGCCAGTATGCTGGCAATCGGTGGGCCAATCTGACGCTGCTGATTGGCTACCAGAAGGCTAGCGATGACCTGGCCAGCTTCAGCCGGGTGTACAGCGAGCCAGTGGAGCACTATCTGCTGCCGTTGAACGAGAGTCAGCAGCCGCGCTTCGCCCAGCCACTGGAGCCGCTGGTGCGGCGCACGGCGGGCTCTATGGTTCACCTGAACTGCACCCCGGCAGCGGGAGTTGCATGGACGAACATTAGCTGGTTTCACAATAACACCCAAGTGGGAAGCAGTGCTAGGAAGACGGTGCACAGCATGTGGCAGCTGCAGCCCCAGGATGCGGGTGACTATCGCTGTCGCCTGTGCAATGATCAGAGCTGCGCCGACAGCAGGACTCGCTTGGAAGTGCTGAGGCGTCAGCACATGGCCCCTGTGCTAAGTCCGGGCTATCCGCGTAACGTGACCGCTGTGCTGGAGGAGCAGCCGATCATAGAGTGCAAGCTGGAGGACTCGCAGCTGGAGCCACAAATCACCTGGCTGCAACAGGTGCGAGCTGGTGACATAAACTCGCTGCTTCAGCGGCTGGAGCAGCAAGCCATCCTGGTGGACACTGATGAGGTGGTCAGACTGCCGGCCCGCAAGGATGAGCCGCAGCTGCTGCGTCTGGGCAGCGTGGAGCCCTACGATGCTGGCTGGTATATCTGTGTTGCCGAGAACCGCTTGGGGCGCACTGTGGGCGCTGCCTATTTGCAGGTGGTGCCAAAGCCCATCAATGTGCCCACTTCAACCGCGCAGCCAACGACAACCACAACCACAACGCAGCAATCGGTCATTAACGCCACGGATGACGATGCGGCGGATGAGGCAGCCGACGATGTCGCGGACGATACCACAGTGGAGCAGTTCCCCAAGTTCAAGAAGCCCCTGAAACGTTTGCAGCATTTGCCCTCGGGCAAGACCCTTACCCTCTCTTGCCCCAGCACTGCGCATCCGCCGGCGAACATCAGCTGGACCTTCAATAAGGGCGACGGCTACAAGGAGCTGCAGCGCGACATTGGGGGCTACAAGTTCAGGCGCTGGTCCCTCACCATGGAGGATGCCATATCGAAGGACACGGCCCTGTACAAGTGCAAGGTGTGCAACATCCTCGGCTGCATTGAATTCGAGTACAGCGTTGTGGTCAACGATCGCATCCGAGCGCCGCCCATCATTACCAAAATGGACAACAAGACGGCGCTGGTCAACACGCAGGTGGTGCTGAAGTGCGATGTGCTGTCCGACAATGAGCCCTCTATCCGGTGGATACGTGTGATGCACCACAATCACTCGATGCCCCTGGCAGTGGACTCGATGCAGCCGGGCGTGGTGCACATCGATCTGAAAACGTCCATGGATCGCCCAGATTTGCTGGTGTTCAACAATGTGAGCCACCTGGACGAGGGCTGGTACACCTGCATGGCCTCCAATTCGCTGGGCATGAGCAACGCCAGCATCTATCTGCGCGTGGTCGATCATCTGCCCTATTTGCACTTCAGTCAGCTCCTCCACACGCATCCCGTGGCCTTCGTCGTGATCGTGGTGATGATAATTGTGTTGTTCCTGCTCGGCAGCGCGTTTATAGTGTATATGCTGCGTCGGCTGCGGCGGGAGAAGCTGCTGAAACATCGCATCGAGACGGTGCATCAGTGGACCAAGAAGGTGATCATCTACAAGCCGGCCAGCGCCGAGGGCAGCTCCTGTGCGGGCGACCTGCAAATACCTGTCATTAAGATCGAGAAGCAACGGACAACGTTCTCCAATACCACGACGGGCGGCTCCTCGGATCCTACACAGGGCTTCAACGAGTACGAGTTCCCGCTGGACTCGAACTGGGAGATTCCCAGGCAGCAGCTGGTGCTAGGCTCCATTTTGGGCGAGGGCGCCTTTGGGCGTGTGGTCATGGCCGAGGCGGATGGCCTGCCGCGCAGTCCGCCATCCTCGAACAATGGCATGGGCACCATTGTCGCCGTCAAGATGGTGAAGGAGGAGCACACGGACGCGGACATGGCCAGCCTGGTGCGCGAAATGGAGGTGATGAAAATGATTGGCAAGCACATTAACATCATCAACCTGCTGGGATGCTGCAGTCAGAGCGGTCCATTGTGGGTCATTGTCGAGTATGCACCCCATGGCAATCTCAAGGATTTTCTCAAGCAAAATCGACCGGGTCAACTGCAGCGGCGCAGCGACAGCGATGGCTATCTGGATGACAAGTCGATGCAGCCACAACAGCAGCTGGGCGAGAAGGAGCTAACCATGTTCGCCTTCCAAATAGCTCGCGGCATGGAGTACCTAGCCTCGCGACGGGTAAGGCCACGCAGCTCAATCAGCGAGCAGATCAGGTGTCTAATGTCTCCATCACTTTTCAGTGCATTCATCGTGATTTGGCAGCGCGCAATGTGCTCGTCAGCGAAGGCTATGTGATGAAGATAGCCGACTTTGGATTGGCCAGGGATATCCAGGATACGGACTATTATCGGAAGAATACCAACGGACGACTGCCCATCAAATGGATGGCGCCGGAATCATTGCAGGAGAAGTTTTACGATTCCCAGAGCGACGTTTGGAGCTACGGCGTCCTGCTCTGGGAGATAATGACCTATGGCGAACAGCCGTACCCGAATATCATGTCCGCTGAGGAGCTGTACAGCTACTTGATCACTGGCCAGCGCATGGAGAAGCCGCCGAAATGCTCGCTCAACATATACGTGGTGATGCGTCAGTGCTGGCACTTCGAGTCGTGTGCGAGGCCCACGTTTGCTGAGCTCGTGGAGAGTTTCGATGGCATACTGCAGCAGGCGAGCAGTAATCCCAACGATGCGTATTTGGATCTATCGATGCCAATGCTGGAGACGCCGCCGTCCTCGGGCGATGAGGACGACGGCTCTGAAACTGAAACATTCCGAGAGACTTTACCGCTTAGATATCAATATACATATAAGTTCAACTAGTGTTAGGGATGGCTTTACCGAGAACATCCATCGAGCATCATACAAAAATACTCAATAAAATACGGTCGAGTCTATGTAAGCAAATTGAATTAATCTTTTTCCATTCCCTCCGACAGAAGCTGCCAAAGAAAATTTTAGTGAAGCAAAAACATCTCATCGAATCCTACCAAACGACTCGCCCATCGCTCAGCGCCTCCGATGTGGCCAAATATAAGAAGACGTGAGCTGCAACAGAAATATATCAAATATTTCGTATTTACTAAATATTACTCATTTCAGATATGCTCGCTTTACCAACAGGGAGAAGAGCTCCAGGGAATTTGTGGCCAAGCGGGCCACATTGGCATAGCTATAAAGACTAAATTAGGCTCAACAGAGATAATTGTAATACTGAAGTTCGGTCATATGGAATGCTATTTTTGCGCGTGTTTATTTTTTATTTTTCGGGAATTGTATTTTTTAATATTGTTGACACAATAAAAACGAATTTACATAATTTAACAGCGCTTAAGCTGATGTCAATTTAACTTTTAATTTGAAGAAGAAAATTGTTATTGAAAACAGATTTAATATAAAACAATTTATATATAGATTCATTTATATTTTACAAATTAAAAATGAATTTTAACAAATATGCCCCAGCAAATGCTGAAACTCTAGGGTATATTATTAACTGCGATAATTGAGCATGCTTTTTGCATATAGTATTATATAAAGCTATTTTGATAAGCTACGAGATCAGCCATGGGCATTGGCTTATTAAATTCCGAATAACATTTACCTCTCAACTGCCGCTTCATTAAGAATGTTGAAGGCGACAGTTGCATTCTGTGCTCTTCTGAGCTTGTCCCTCAGTGCTGGGGTGATTGGAGTGAATGGCTGGAACTTACGTTCGCGCTGGTGGTTGGGCGAAACTCCTCCCAGCCTCGATGCTTTGAGGCCAACACAATGGGCACAACGTCAGCGCTTTCTGCTGGATCTGTTGCTGCAAGTGCACAAGCCTCTGCTGCAGCAGGAGCTCATCGACATGGGCCGTGAGCTCAACGAGAATCCCAACGATTACGAAACGGTGAGTGGACTCAGTCTGAAATCGAAATCCATTGTTTACATATATGTATATTCCTATACAGGGCAGTTGGCCTTCGTTGCTCGACTTCTTTGAGCGCGTCCATCAGGATCGCATACTGCGCCCATATAGCATATACAGTCTTTTGCAAGAGGAGCTGCCGCAGCAGCTATTGGACGTTTATCGCTTCCTAGTGCTGGCCAAAGACTGGAGAACCTTTCAGTGCAATGCCTGCTATGCGCGCAGCCAGTTCAACCCGGTGCTCTTTGTGCATGCTCTGCAGCTGGCGATTGCCGAACGTGCGGATACAAAAGATCTGATGCTGCCGGCCATGCATGAGGTGCTGCCACAACTCTACTTCGACAAGGAGCTGATACGGGCAGCAAGGTCCGTTAGTTGGCAGGACTTGGCTCCAGTTCGGATTGCTCCGAAACGCACTTGGAAGGACACATTGGGTAGTATATTGTACCCGAAGATATTCAGACAGCCACCGGAGGAGGAACTAATGCCAGCCGACCCGATTGTCATAGAAGTGAAGTCCCTTGGGGTGCAGCTGAGCTTAGATGTGGCCTTGAACGGCTATTGGAGCAGGCTTATCAGCCGGCTGATAATCGGGTCGAAAGCCAAGGAAGATTATGGAACTGCTATAATAGACGGCGATCTCATGATGCAGTTCCGCAGTGATGAGGATGAATGGATATACCAGCAACAAGTTGAGGGTGCGGCGAGGCCAGAAATCGGACTCTTGCTGATGCAAAACATCCGACAGTTTGTAGCCCTGCTGCAGCTGGAAGAACTAGCGACAGGCAAAAGATCAGTTGAGCTGGTCACGCCCACATTGATGACAACGGGTGGGGTGCCCTACAAGGCGACTGCGCTGAATGCCGAAGACGTGCGGCAATTGATAAGCAAGTCTATTGAAGAGCTGCAAAGTCAGATTGATAAGGAGCTGCCAAAAAATAAGAAAATTGAGCCTATGTGGGTCGTGGTTCAGGTGATTGCGGCGGAGTACTGGCTGCTCTGTAGACATTTGAGTCTGGCCATCAACGGCAACAATATGGAGCCCAGCCTGTTGGGCATGACTACGTCAAACCTGCGCGATCCCATATATCGCTCGCTGTTGATTCAACTGGCTCAATTAATATCCAAGTACGAACAGAAGCCAAAACCAAAATCATACGACAAGCAGCGACGTCCGTCGGTAAAGCTGCTGCAAGTGACTAAATTGGAAACCTATGAGCAGCTACTGGACACCGACTTGATTAACCTAATGGATCAACAGTTGCTTCAGTCGCAGCGCAACAATTTGCAATTGCTGCGTCGTCGTCTTGTGGCACGTCAGCTGCGCTTGAATCACAAACCATTCAGCATTGCCTATGAGCTGTTCGTTCCGGAGACGATGGTTGTCCAAATCCGCAGTTATCTGACGGTGCCTGGCAGAGCTGAACCTCGCCTATTGCTCGATAACTTTGTGCGTGAGCTAGGAACTGGCGAGAATAGATTGGAACGTCATTCTCCAGCCGCTCCAAATGATCCCACACTTAGCGAGCTGTATGAAGCACAGGCACCATTTAATGCTCCCAAAACCTGTGCATTTCCTCATCACCTGCAGCTGCCTCGTGGCACTGCTGAAGGTCTGCAGCTTCAATTACTTGTGGAAGTACTCCAATGGCACGGCACTGAGATCGAATCAGAGTGTGTTGGGGCTGCCAGCTTTATGGGTGAGAATGCTACACTCCTCGCCAGCGATACCTTAGATGTGGTCATATATCACCAGGAATTAAAAATATCAAACGACAAATTGGAATAAAAGTAACAAAATATACTCACTGTATAATTTTTGTGTTTTATAGCATTGCATATTTACAATTTTAATAATTAATAATAAAAATAAAAATATTAATTTAATTTGCATATATATTGAATATAAGTATTCATAAGCAATTTACATATATTCTTATAGACATTTTATTTAATTTAATCATGTGTTATATTTTATATATATTTTAGCCATTTTTTTTGTACTTTAGTTATTTATAGCAAATCTATATTTTTAAAATAGACTGTTAAAGAAACAACATAAACAAGAAGTCAATTATCGATGTTAAATGTTGATGTCGATATAATGGATACAATACCTATCGAAAGCTGTGCTGCTGCTGCTAGAATAGTTTAAGCGCCATCTAGTTGTGAAAGCATTTTTTCTGTCTGCAACTCCTTTTTATTTGGCTACGGTTTTGATTAGATGAGGCCGAACATGAATTTTAGCGCGGAAATAAATAAGCATAGAAATAAATGTTTATAGTCTTGTTATTAATAAGTAAAAACCCCCTATTTGACATTTTAGTAATCGAATGAATGACTAGCCTTTGGCCTCTTCAGTTCTTAACGATGTTATCTGCGTTGAACACTTAATAAGGAAATCTAATCGAAATCAATCTAATCATTTTTCTTTTAATTACAAATTAATACAATCAAATCAATGATACAACTAAAATTACTTTAATGATTTTACTTTACAGTTTTCTTATATATACGTATGTATGTATTTGTGCGCACTCCTTAGGCATTAGAGGTTGAGTTAGCCTTGGACTTGGCCACAAGGATCTCGTACTTGTCAAATTGACGCAGTGGCAAATCTTCGTTCTTGATAATGCAATACTTCTGCGATAGGAACAGAGTGCCCATTAGCAAACCTCCATCCGACCTAGCGCGGCAAATGAAGACACGTTCGTTCCAATGGGTGGTGCCCACAGAAACGGCGCCTTTTTCGTAATTGCCATCAAAGCTGTGTATCCATTCGTAGTCAAAACTGGGACTAGAAGTCAAAAGTTGATAGTCGACAAGCTTGTTGCTCAGTTTGTCTGTGTTGAAATAGGCGTAGCCCGTCTCGGCCACGACACGAGCGGGCAAGACGTTGGTGCCATAAGCGACTCGGCCTATGTAAGTTCTGTAGCCATAAGGATCAAATCCACCAACTATAACGTCGCTTGTCAAGGGAATTGAAAGATTTCCCTTGATCCAATTATGTTCAGTATCTAGGGCAGCATTTAGTAAGTATTAATTTCAGTGGCTCCTTGGCTTGCCAAAAGTCTGATTACTTACCATATGTGTAGGGAGCAGCCAATGCCACGGCAAATAGTCCGGCTACCAACAAGCAGATGACTTTAAACATATTGCAACGCGTTGAATAAACTATTGAATGATTGCAAAATGCGGTAGCTACTTTTATACTAGTGACTTATCTATTCCCACTATCAGCCATATGTGTACAGTTATAAGTAAATTTAGGGGATTGCAGTTTTATGACTTGGCTCTAGTAGTAACTAGGCTATAATAAAATCGAAATTATATACAATTGATTGCAAAAAGAATAAAATGAAACAGCATTATGGGCGCCATCTATTGTTCGTTTACGGTGCTCCAGAGGGAGAAGGAGAGAGCTTGTTTAAGCTATAAGCCAAAGGGTTAAATAATAGTATTAAGCAATTCCTTTATCTTAATGTTATTAATATTTAAACTTGCGAGTTATGTAACATATACCTGCACTTAAAATTTGGGGATGAGCTTTAAACGGTTTCTCTAATTAAGCTTACACACTATTCAATCGAGCACAATTATATGCAAAACACCTGATAATTTGGTAAACGCTTGCCCGATCATTTCTAATTAAGCATGAGCTTCTAATGATACAAGTGAACTAATTCAATTTTAAATAGTGAGCTCGCCTGCAAAAGGGTCGTGAATGTAAAATGGTTTCATCAGTTTATTTCAGTAGTGTTCTAGTCTGTCATTGTAAACACCTCTAATTTCTTTAGAATTTCGCACAGCTTGTTCTCTGCTCTCCTTCTCCTTCTTTCGACTGGAAATCAAATAAAATGACTGGCAAATAGGCAAACGGAGAAGTCCCCAAAGGAAAACTTGAAAACGAAACGGTTTATTATGCTTATGCGAATGTGATGACAACAAAAAGGCATAATAGTAAAATTAAATGTGTCTATTATGCCAGCAATACAATGCACACATAAAACCACACACACACACACAGAGGCTGATACACACACACACACGCACACATACAGAGGCCTCACAATCGTATGGCCCATAGAAACATTTGGCAGACAAGAAACGTTTAAGGAAGGATGTGTTGCTTAGAAGACTTCGATGGCAGAGGCAGGCAGCGGGGCATGTGAGGCTATGGGGTGGCTCTGGGACGATCCAGGCGCATAAAAACAAATGCACAATATGACAAAAACAACAAAACAACCGGCGTAGTATTGAGACATGGCAGCTCAGTTCTTGGCAGCAAAGAAAGCGAAATCAACTTGAAGGCCTCGTTCAGGGGGTTTGTACATGGGTCCGGAATGGGCATTTGGCCTGGGCGTGTTTCTTGGCAGATAAGCACAATAATATGCACGTATTTTACGGCAGCTTCCACCCCCCACCACCTGCCCCACAAGTGACGCAACCGAACTTTGTCGGTCCCCATTTTCGCGCAGCATTTTCTAAGAATGCGCAAATTTAAATGCGAATTGTTTTCAGTTTTGTTTGTCGCCGTCGCTTTGCCTAATTGACTTTGCGTGCCACGCCCACCTCTGCTCCTCCCCCCACTGCCACGACGCCAGGCACCGGTCCAAACTTTGACAAGAATAGACGACAATCAGCGTTCATTTTTTGCCTTTTTTGTATGCGTCTAATTTGTGTGCGGTTTATGAAAAGAATACCAGCTCTCTGTCCCATTTCCATTCCCGCTCCAGTTTCACTACCAGTTCCACCTCTAGCTCCAGTTCCTAATGAACAAACATTGCCCTCGCTCTGCGTCAGGCGTCTAAATGCGAAAAGTTGTTACTCATTTTATGGCTTATTAATTTTTGATTGTAGTCAAGGTAATAAACAGCCAAGGTATGGAGACATTTAAAAAAGAGAATTTAAAAAGAGTTTTTCCTAGGATTATTCATAGCAATTTGGTTATAGATCGTAAACTAAGGCAAAGACTTTTATACCTAGCCAATTGGATATTATTATTATTATTATTATTTTTTTTGCTGTATTTAGGCTTTATGAAATATTTCAGGATAGTAGTTAAAAAATCAAATTATATTTGCTATATTTAAACTGTTATAAGAGTGTTTCAATTTTAAAACCTCATTGTAACTAAACCAGATTTTGCTAAAAAATTACTGACCTTGTGTACAATGAAATTTGCCTTTAATAATTGACATTAATTATATTAATTGTTGGCTAGTAATTCTTATAATTTGGACAATACTCAAGATTCGGTTTCATGAAAAACTTTTGGTAAAATATAATATGATATCTGATGTCAAGGCATCTAGTATACAGATATATAAATATATACATATATGAGGTCTTCCTCAAGACATTTCTTGACTTTTTAATTATTCGCAGGTTACATATATTTGATGATTTATTTTTTGTGGCGATATGTTTGATATATTTATTTATATAATATATATGGATATACAAATTCATATTTCTAAAAATATTTATATGTATAATTTAAACACATAGCTAAGTCTAACTAATCGAAAGGAATATTTTGAACTCGAATAAGAATCTTAGAAATATGATAGTCTCTGAAGATATGTCTGTGATACTAATTAGTCCATTGTATTGCTGGCAATATAAAGAAGCAGAAATGTTAAACGGGCACCTCCGTGGCTCCTTCGAGTGGGCAATAAGGGAAAGCAAAGATCTAAAGTGGCCATTGGCATTGGACCCAAGACCAACAGCAATAGCAACACCAACACCAACACCATCATCATCATCATCATAATCATCATCGTCATCGTCATCATTATCATCTTCATTGCTATTCAGCATCTCTTGTGGCATTCCTGGGTATTGTATTTCATTTCCGTTTTCATTATTATTTGTGGGCAGCCCCGGTCGCCCCGTTTTGGCCAACTGTGGATGTCCTTTTGGTCCTTTGGTCCTTTGGTCGTTTGGTCCTTGGCTGTCGCTCAACTCGCTCGCTCGCTCGCCCGCTTACTCGCTTGCTGTGCGGTCTATTTGGTCTGTTGTCTCTGCTGCTGGCATTCGCTCCATTTTTTATCGCCTTCGTCTTCGCCGTTGTCGTCAAGAACAACGCCAACGACGCTGCCAACTTCCTGCTATCGTGCTAATTTCCGTTGCTTTATCTTGACACAATGGTGCGCATTAAAAGCGTGATGGGGAACCGCTGGCAAACTTCATAACTAAGGGCGGTGCCGCAGAGGGTTGGTGGTGGTGGCATTGGGCTCCACTGCAGCGCTGACCGCTGCGCTTTTATTTCCGCCCCACATTTTGTCGCCATATTAGACGCCATTTTTGTTTTCGCATTGTCAACACATTGTCATTGGGCGCCAAGACAGCCGGGCAGAGTGAGCGAGAGGGGTGTGCGGCGCACTCGCTCCATCGCGTTATCATCCGTCGCCGCTGGTCGCATTTGCATGCGGTTTTTCTCCTCACAAAATATTGATAAATGCCGCCATTAAACGCGATTAACCATTTGAATTATGTGGCAAAGCCAAATTTTATTGCCAACACAATTCTATGGCCAAACAAATGGCATCATTATTAAAATATATGTACCTCTATTGAGTGGGTGTGCGTGTATATGTGTGCGTGTGATAATGCAAAGCGACCATAATTGGGGCGGGCATGAGCTCAAAGTGGGAGCTGTTCATATATTTAAAAATTGTGCTTACAATTTGCGCCGTTTGAATTTCAATGCAACCGCGAAAAATTATTGCCAATTGTTTGTGCGCTAGTCCACTCGGCATCTGCAATAACAACAGCAGCAACAAGAGCAACAACAACAACAGCACCAGTAGCAGCTGCTACAACAAAAGCTTTAGAGACTAATGCAATTTTAGTCTAAACAGTCGCCAACAATTTGAATGAATTGCATCAATTGCCGGCCCATTGTGCTGCCCGTAAAAAAAAAGCAGAATAAAAGAAGTGTCCGCCCTTGTGCTCGTCTATTGAGTGGGCGTGTCCGGTTGCACGTTGCCTTGCTGCATTATGGTGCGTGTGTGCGTGTCCTATCTCTCTCTCCCTCTCTCTGTCTCTCGCTCGCTCTGCGGACTGCACTCGCGGGGGTAATAAAATAATTGCAGCGCACGTGTCAAAAATATTCAAAAGGATTAAGTAGCGGCCAAAGCCAGAAGAGAGTGACGAAAGGCGAATGGGTCTATCGGGGCACGCGGGGTACTTGGCAGCACTCGGGGTGGCTGTAAATCCAACAGTTTCCTTCGCCGTACGCATTGTCCAACTGATTGCATAAATTGTTATGGAATGCCATGGACGAGTGCCCATAGAAGGCTCTGAATGTGACGATGAACAACTCGGCCAGCCATGTGAATGGTTTTTTCTCCGTGTTTACTCTGGGCAGGAGGCGTGGGGGCAACTGTTGCGGGTTGAGGAGGGATTGGTGCCTGCGAACAAGAACGCCTTCGCTTTTTATGCATCTATTATGGGCTGGTAAATTGTTTAGGGTATGATGAATATGCGAAGCAATTTGCTTAACAAGGAGCTGGAATATAGTCATAAATTAAGTTACACTTGTTTAAAAACAGATAAGTATATATTTTTAAGGTCAGAAGTAGATGTTTTTAAGAGCAAAAATGATATACATATTTATAAAATTATATACTGATTAGAATAAAAAAAAAAAAAAAAAAAAATTATAAAAATATAAAAATAATATTCTTAGCTTTTTCCCGTGACCTAAGAACCCAGTGTTTGTCTTCCATGGCATTAAAAATATACACGCAATTAATTTGTTTGTTGAAATGAACCCAATAATATTTAAAAAAAAAAGAAATTAAAGTGTGTTTGCATTGATAAGCTTAAAAAGCAGCAGGACTTTAATCTTTAAATATTTGATCAATATAAATAGATTACAAATAATGATTGGTTGTTAAATATTAAATATAGTATTTATACTTTTAATCAGGATAAACAAACATTGATAGAATACCGACCTACTGTATGTAGCGTGAAAGTGATATGAAAATATCCCTCTCAGCCATTATTTGTATATCGATAAAAGTCTAAGCTTAGTTATATTTTAAATATTTTGTTCAGATCAAGCTCTACTTCACAAGCTTATAATTTATTTTTGTAATCCTTGATACTATATATTATATAAATGAAATTATTTTATATGAGCTTGATGAGTT